CGTTTCCAAACATTTCTAGCAGTGTGGACCAGAAAAAAAGACACTTTGTCACCAACTCAATCTACCATATTGGCTGAAATTCAGTATTATTTTTATAATTAGGATAAAATAGGACTAATTTACTTTTTAAAACTCTGTTCCAAGAATCACAGCCATTTGACACAGATGGGCCCCTGCAGACTGCCGCCGCTGCAGACCATGGTACCCACCTTGACCTGTGAGTGGAATCAGTCTTAAGTCAGTCTTCAGTGAGTTGAAACTTCCAGATCATTAACTTTTTTTCAAAAAAAAAAAAAATTAAAACTTCTGTAAGCTTCCTTAGGGCTGATATCTTATGGAAAAAAAAGTGATAATTTATCTTAAGGAAAGATTAAGGAGTCAAAATAGTTATTTTTCTCATCTGCAGTATAAGCTCCACAGCTATAGTTTAATTATGGATAAGGTGGACATTTCCAGTAAATGTGTTATGATGGGTTCCTGGGGCTTGGTGACTTCACGCTGTTTCTCTTCTCTGAGTGTTTTTTCTATATTCCTATGAAGAATAATTCTTACCTGTATAAACAGCCAACGTTGTTTTGTTTCTGAAATGTCAAATATCATCCTGGTTTGAAAAAAGATCAAAGAGCTCTAACTAAAAAGAATCCCCAAAATAAAAACTGGTTTACTAATTAAAAAAAAAAAAAGATTGGGGAGGTATAGCTCAAGTGGCAGAGCGCATGCGTAGCATGCATGAGGTCCTGGGTTCAATCTCCAGTACCTCCTCTAAAAAAAATAAATAAATAAACAAACCTAATTACCTCTCCTCCCAAAAATTAAAATTAAATTAGAAAAATGTTTAAAATAGTATCAGTTGTATTTTTTTTAAAAAGGAAAAAAGAATGTGTGTAATATATATATATTTTTTTAAATACAGGAATCCCAGCCATTTTTCAGCCATTTTAATTAATCTCCCATCCATCCCCTCTAGCAAGAAACCCAGCCTATTTAGAAAGCCCAACTGATTTGAGTGTCATTTTGTGCAACAAGGGAAAAACATAGAAAACAGCAGTTGTTCTTGACTGCCACGTGTTGGGTCTTTACGATATGTGTTGCCTTTAATCCTTTTTGATGACTGAATGAGGTAGATGTCAGTGTCCCCATTTTACAGATGAGAAAACTGAGGCTTAGAGAATGGAAGTGCCTTGCTCAAGATTACACAGCCTGGAAACCCAGCACAGCCAGGTCTGCCTGGCTCCAAAGTCCACACACTTTTCTTTGGGCCATTCTTCCTCCTGTTTCACCATCCCAGTTATTTGAAGGATAGACTTAAGGACCAGAAATGTAATTTCTTGTACTTCCACTGGGCCATAAACATCCATCCTGAAGTCAGAAGTCATCAGAGTGGAGCTTGTTATTAAATAATCCACCAGACAGGCCCTTGATTAGCAACATAGTGAAATTCTACCGAGAATCTCTCTGGGGATGCCATTTAGCATTATTAAATTGAGGGCGTAAATTAGTCTGGCTAAAGAGTTAATTCTCTCTTTGATTCAGGCAGCTGTCCTGAGGGAGATGTCCACTGGGAACCCAGTCTTCTGGTTCAGATATTCTGCAGATGAGATTCCAGGAGCGCACACCTTCCTACAGCATCTGAACTGCTCTTACTCAGCACTCCGCTCACTGGATTGCCGCTTACCCTCTGCCTTCCCTGCAAGATCGTGAGCAGCAGAGTTCAAGGATCTCCCCAACCTTGCTCACCACCACTCCCAAGCCCTGCCTGGTGCCTGGCACGTAGTTGCGCTCCAAACAAACTTTTTTAATTAGTTGATTGATTAACAAACCATTGAAGGTACTAGCATTCAGTTGCCCCGGAATTAAGTTGGACTATTTATGCCAGGGTTTGCAAAACTCCCAATGGTCAGGTTAGAACCAGCTAGGGAACCTGCCTCCGTGGTGCCTGCTGGTCGTTGAGGGTTTCCAGGGGCAGTCACTGCAGCTCCCTGTGTCCTTCCTGTGCCCCACATCTGAGGTTGTAGCCTGGTTACTGCTCCTTTCTGCTAGACTTCTGGCTTCCTTCACTCCAGCTCTCACCTGGGTGACCACAAAAGCCTCTTCGATGGTGATACCTCCTTACAACCAGGAAAGAGGGACCTTTGCTCTTGGCCCATGTTTCAGAGGACTTCATACATCACAAACACACACAACATTTTGGTAAAGAACACACAGGCACTTCTGTCACTGGGGATCTGGTGCTCAGTCCTTGCAATGTTGGACCCATAACCCTACATGTGCATTTTCCCCAATTCAGGGCAATGCTTACCCACATCTCTAAGGAAAAGACAACTACATCCAAATGGTTTTCAGTGAACTGTGTTCAATGAATTTGTCCTTCCCCTCAGATAACATGATGCAATAGATATTTCTTGCACAATGAAACATTGTTTCCCAGGAGAGCTGAGTGTGCAGTATTTTGGGCTCTCTGTGTTCCAATCTGTGGCTCCGGAAGTGCTCACAGATTAGTTCTATATTCACAGGACTTGCACATGGTGACTGAGGAACGTTTGCGGTATTGCCGGTTTTGTCACTCTTAACTTTGCATGCATGCTTGTCTAGAAGTGGCATGAGTAATATGTGATACCAGTTCTTCACACTGGCGACAAGATGGACACTAGTGTTGCCACTGGAGTTGCAAGTGGTTTAACGTTTGTTAAAATATTTAATGAAATTTAACTGAATTTTTCAAAAGTAAATAACTTAATTATCTAAATAATTTTGATTTTAAAATTTAACATTAACTTAGTATGACTATATTTTGCCTTCTCATTTGAACGATTTTGCACATTTTAGGAGAAAAGTAACTTTTGAGAAAACATACATGAACCTTTTAAAATTTTTAATTTTGATACTTTACGTTTGCTCAAATTACATTTTGGATGAAAATATATTCAAGTTTCCTACAGTTTAACTATAACTTTTAACCCTATAAATATTGTCAATAGGACACCGATTATGTGAAAGCTCTACTTAAAATCACTGGTGATATTTCTGAAAGGACAGCAAGAAAAATAAACTTAGTAGAATAAATTCATAATTATTTCTAGATTATGTATCATTCTGTTGTTCTTCAGAACATCACAAGTCTGTGAACAAAACACTCATACAACTCACAATAATTAAATTCAGTCATCTTTAGTATTGTGTTACTCTTAGTCATATAAACCTGTGGCTTAACACGTCTTTCAGTTCTGACATTTTGATATTTTTCAATTTTGACATTATATAGTATCGAGGTCAGAGGATAGAACATGTTTTATTTAACGGTTTGTTTGCCTGACACACTGTTAAAAATTTAAACGCATGGACCGGGCCCCTGTTTGCACTCTTGTCTCCAGTTCTGCACATGTTATGGGTACAGCCTCGAGCTGGCCTCCCTGCTTTTGCCCTCACCCCAAATTCATTCTTCACATAGAAGCCAGATAGTCATTTTGTTTTCCCAAACCTGTATTAGAGCACATCACTCCACCAGCAGCTCCCCATTGTCCTTAAAATAGAGTCTGAATTCCTAACTGGAAGCCCTTTCTTGCCCTGACCCTTGCCTGCCTGCCTCTCCCACCAGGAGTCTCCTCCCAGTCTCACCCCTCCAGCTCTGTGAGCGGCCATCTGCTCTTCAAACACATCCAGTTTGCTCCAGCCTCAGGACCGTTTCTCTTGCTCTTCCCTCCTCCGGAAGGCTCTTAACACATAGTCATGCCGCTAGTTCTTTCTCGTTAATTAGGTATCAGCTCACCCACAAGTCACCCCCTTAAAAAGCTTTGCTTTTCTCTTCCCACCTCTGCTGAGCAATTACTACATGCCTGGCACGGTACCAAGTGCTCTAGATCTGTGAACCATTTAATACTTCCACCAACCCTATGAGGTGGGTACTGTAGGAGCTCAGAGAGGGCAAGGGACTTCCTCAAGGTCACACAGCTGAGGAGTTGTGGAAGTTGCGTTGCTTGGATTTGAACCCAGGCTTCCTCTAGAGCCCCATTCTTAATCCTAGGCTATGTTACTGTTCTGGTCACCCAGACTAAGATAGCATCCTCCCTGCCCCAGTCACTGTCACATATCCCTGTCTTATTTCCTTATTTTGTTTATCACTCACTGAAAATATCTTGTTCATTGTGTGTCTCCTGGCGTGAAGACGGGTTTTTTTTCCTCCTTATTTACCACCATAACAGCACAGTCAAGACAGGGCCTGGCACACAGTAGAAACCTTTAACTGAGTCATGTTAGCTGACTTTTTTTTAACCTTGAATTATTAGTTAAAAGTGTATACTGAAGTATGAATGGGTGAAATTATTTGATGCCTAAAATTTCCTTTGAAATACTCCAGTTAAAAAAAAAATAGCATCAGAGAAGAAATAAGATTCGCAAAATACTGACCATTGGGTAAGGTTGGGTGATAGATCAATGGGGTCATTTTACTATTCTCGCTGCTTTTGCATGCTTGAAAAGCTCCTTAATAAAGTAAAAACTATTTTTTCCCAAAGCCTGTCAATTGCTCTTAGGACAAGATAAACTTCAACCTTCAGGACACACAAAAGTCGTTTGCTGTCTCGGGGTAGGAAAAAGGAGGAAAACAAAGCTAGATGCAGCCAGTTTCTCCTGTCATGGGGACAAATGTTAGGAGATCCCAGGGGAGGCAATGACTAAATCATCCATGAAAGAAGAAAGGCTATCACAGGCCAAAAAGCAGTGGATTGGGGTTCCAAAGGATGCGCAGGAGTTTATTAGGCAAACCACAAAGGCATTCTAGACAGAGGGCACGGTCTATCCAAAAGCAAAAACATTTTAAGTGCCTGACACGCTGATTAAATTTGGATACTTTCAGCTGAACATTAAAGACAATTTATTAGGTTGCACTTATAAGATGATGAGAGGTACATGCTCCTGGATTGGTTAAGTCAGACTCTGTAGAATCATCAGGGACTCAGATTTCCTCCATGTCTTTGTTGTGCCCTCTTTAGCAAGTCTGGCAGCGTTGCCCTCAGGCTCACTGCCCTCAAGGCTCTGAGGACAACTTCCAAATGAAGAAGAAGTGGCATCTTTCTACCAAGAAGAAAACCCTTCTCAGAAGCCCCCAGCAGGCTTCCTCTTGTGTTTCACTGGCCAGGAATATATGAACCATCAGTGAGAAAACAGGACCACCATGACTAGCTTGGAATCGCCTTAATCCTCCTTTGGTGCTGGGCATGCCTCCCTTGAAGCACTGAGCCTCTGGAAAGGTAGGTAAAGGCTACATGGGGGCCCTGATGGGAGGCAAAGTCCAAAAATAGTGGGAATCCAGTGCAGTTTTTAAAAAGAAAGCGATTTGATTGGATCTGTGTCTTTTTAAAGGACATGCCTTGGGGAATAGGAAGTCAGGCATGAAGTCAGAAAGACCAGAGGGGATTGCCTGCTTCCAGGAGATGAGGGCTTAAATGTCTCCTATCTGCCCCTCCAGATCCTTTCTCCACCTTTCTCCCTGGCTCTCTGTAGCCCTCAGAGATTTGCCTACCTGGGCCACATTAAAGGCTCCTGTATCCTAGGCCTTCCAGCCGTTCAGCCAGTGGGCAGAACTGAGAGAACAGAGGAGGGAGTGAGAATGCATTTGGGGTGTTTATTCCCCAGTTCGCTCTACCGTGCCCACACCTATGTAACTAGTCCTTTATTAGACCTTCCTCCATTTGACCCAAATTTGATGTGTCATCCACTTCCTGCTGGGACCCTGATTGATTCAGGTAACAAGGGATCATGTTGTCAAGGGACCCCTGGCAGGTGAGGGAGACTTATCAGCCATTTGCTTCCTTCATCGTGTAGCCGACAGACTAGACCAGCTGTCAGCAGTAGAGCAGAGCTGCTGGCCTGGGCTATTCCACTCCCACCGTGTCGTTTCTGTAAGTTACAAGGGTCAGGAATAAAGGCATGAAACACCCTTCAAAATTTACCTTTTTCTCTTCAAGTAAAATTTTTGTTTGATTGCTTTCTTCCTAGCATTTCTATTAGAGAATAGAGGAAGCTTGCCCCTCAATGCCCCAAAGGAGAAAGTAAAGTTCTAACTAAATGTCATCCCTGTCATTTACCTTGGGATAAAAGAGGAGGTGGCCGCTTCAAAGGGGGTGAAGCAGGGAGCTGGTGCAGCCCACAGAGTGTAGTGAGCAAGAATCTTTCTCTCTGCACCTCCTGTTACGGGTTGAATTGTGCCCCATGCCAAAACATATGTTGAAGTCCTCACTCCCCATAATGTGGTGTTATATCTCAGAATGTGACCTTATTTAGAAATAGGATCTTTACAGAAGTAATCAAGTTAGAATGATGAGGTCACTAAAAGAATACATAGGCAACAAGCTCCTTGACATTGATCTTGGCAATGATTTTTTGTGATTGACACCAACGGCAAAGGCAACAAAAGCAAAAATAAACAAGGAGGGCTACATCAAACTACAAAGCTTCTGCATAGCCTAGGACACATGAGCAAAATGAAGAGGCAACCTACCAAATGGGAGAAAATAATTGCAATTCATAAATCTATAAGGGGTTAATATCCAAAATATATAAAAACGCATACAACTCAATAGTGAAAAAAAAGATAGAGAGAAAAAGAGGATCTGTTTTTCCAAATGAAACATACAGATGGCCAACAGACACATGAAAAGATACTCAGCATCACTTACTGTCAGGGAAATGCAAATGAAAACCACAATGAAGTCACTTCACAGCTGTTATCAAAAAGACAAGAAATACCAAGTGTTGGTGAGGATGTGGAACAAAGGGAATCCTTGCGCACTGTTGGTGGGGATGTAAATTGGTGCAGCCACTATGGAAAACATTATGGAGGTTCCTCAAAAAAATGAATAGAACCACCACACGATACAGCAACTCCACTTATCCACAGGAAATGAAAATACTAACTTGAAAAGATGTAAGCACCCTCTACGTTCGTTGAAGTCTTATTTACAATAGCCAAGATATGGAAACAATCTAAATGTCCATTGATGGATGAACTGATAAAATGTGGTGTATATATACAATGGAATATGACTTGGCCATAAAAAGAATGAAACATTGCCATGGATGGAACTTGAGGGCATTATGCTAAGTGAATTAAGTCAAACAGAGAAAGACAAGTACCACATGACCTTGCTTACCTGTGGAATTTTAAAACAAACAAATAAATAAGACTCATAGATACAGAGAGCATTTTGGTGATTGCCAGGTGTGGGGGTTGGGGAGAGGGTAAAATGAATGAAGGTCGTTCAAATGTACAGACTTCCAGTTATAAATGAAATAAGTCAAGTGAAATACCTCAGTATATTTCTACAAATACTATATACCAAAAACTACAAAACATTGCTGAAATAAATCAAAGACGATCTTTTTAAAAATGGAGACACATACTGTGTTCAAGACTCAACATAGTAAAGGTGTCAGTTTTCTCCAAGCTGATCCATAGATGAATGCATTTCAAATCAGAATCCCAGCAAGACTTTTAATAAATAGACACAAGCTGATTCTAAGACATATATGGAGAAAGGCAAAGGAACTAAAATGGCAGAAACAATATTATGAAGAAAAATAAAGCTGGTGGCGTCACACTCCCCAGTTTTCTAGTAATCCAGAAGGTGTGATATTGGCAAGGGGACAGATACATAGATCAATGGAATAGAATGGAGAATTCAGAAATAGACCCACATAAATATGGCCAATTAAGTTTTGGCAAAAGTACAAAGGTAATTCATTGGTATTGGACCAATTTTTCAACAAATGGTGTTAACACAATCGGTCATTTGTATGTTCATGTCTGTTTTTGTAAACAAAACAAAAAAACCTCACCCTAAGCCTCACACCCTATACAAAAAATTAACTCAACTTGAGTGATAATGATGAGTCATAAGTTCATCAACTCAAAGAAATGTACCACTCTGGTGGGGTATTTTGATAATGTTGGCGCCTACGCATGTGTGGGGGCAGGTAGTCTGTAGAAAAATCTCTATCTTCTGCTTAATTTTGCTGTGACCCTAAAACTGCTTTTTTTAGAGTCTGTTTTTTTTTTAAAGAAAAAAAAACCTCAAAATGACTGTAGATCTAAATGCAAAATATACAACTCTAAAAGAGAAGAAACAAGGGAAAATCTTTGTGACCTATGGTTAGGGAAGGTGTTCTTAGACGTGACACCAAAAGCATTATCCATAAAAAGAAAAAAAGATAAAAATCAAAATTTAAAACTTTGCTCTGCCAAAGACACTGTTAAAAAAAAATTAGAAGATAAGCCACAGACTGGAAGAAAATATTTGCAAATCACTTGCAAGATTTTTATCTTGTATCCAAAATACATAAGGAACTCTTAAAACTAAACAGTAAGAAAACAAATCATTTAAAAGTGGGGAAGAGACTTGAATAGTTACTCCACCAAAGAAGATATGCAGATGGCAAATAAGTACGTGAAAAGATGTTTGACCTCTTAGTCATTAGAGAAATGCAAATTAAAACCATGATGAGATATATACATCTATCTAAATGGCTAAAATAAAGATTGTTGACAATACCAACTTCTGGCAATGATGCAGAGCAACTGAAATTCTCATGCATTGCTAGTGGAAATACAAAATGGTACAGCAACGCTTGAAAAACAGTTTGACAGCTTCTTATGAAATTAAACATACATTCACCATATGACCCAGCAGTCCCACTCCAAGGTATTTACCCTAGAGAAATGGAATCTTAGGATCACAGAAAAATTGGTAATGAATGTTTATAGAAACCCCAGTTCAAAGTTGTCATAAGGGGTGGGTATAGCTCAGTAGTGGAGTGCTGTGCTTACATTGCACAAAGTCCTGGGTTCAATCCCCAGTACCTCCATTAAAAACAAACAAACAAACAAAAATGAAGTCATCATAAACTGGAAACAACTCAATATCCACCAAAAGAAGTGTATATTAAAACACTGTGATACATCTGTCCAATGACACGTTACCCAACAATAAAAATGAACCGAACTACAGATACACGCAACAAAACGGATGCATCTTAAAAATATTATGCCAAATGGGATACGCCAGACATCTAAAATTACATACTGTATGATTCCACTTCCATGACATTCTCAAAAGGACAAAATCACATGAATGGGTTATAGATCAGTGGTTGCCAGGGGTTAGAAGTGGGTGGAGGCTGTGACTACAACAGGAGAGCAGGAGGGAGTTGTTTGGAAGTGGTGGAGATAGAACTGTTCTGTCTTGATTCTCGTGGTTACGTGAATCTGTACATATGTTAAAACTCAGACCTATACACACCAGAAACATCAATTTTACTGTATATAATTTTTAAAAATTTACTCTGGTTAGAAAATACATGTATGATTTTAATACTTTGAAATTTGTTGAGACTTGTTTTATGGCCCAGGATGCGGGCTATTTTGGTAATGTCCCCAGTGCACATGAAAAGAATTTATATTCTTCACATTAGTGTGTTGTGTTCTATAAATGTCACTTAGGTCAAGTTGGAAAATAGTGTTCTTACAACTCTTCTACAGTTGTATTGGTTTATTTTTGTCTGCTTACTCTATCAGTTGTTGAGAGAATTGTTACCATTTCTGCCTATGATTGTTGGTTTGTCTCTGTCTCCTTTTAGTATGGTCAGCTTTTTTTTTTTACACATATTTTGAATTTGTTAGTTGCATACAAGCTTAAGCTTGTTTTGTATTCTTACTGAGTTGACTCTTTCATCATATGAAATATCCTTCTTTATTTTTTGTAATACTTCTTGGCTTTAAAATAACCACACCAGGTTTCTTTTGGTTAGTGTTGACATGGTGTATCTTTTCCTAATCTTTTATTTCAGTTTTTCAGTGTCTTTATGTTTAGAATCTCTCTAATAAGCAGTATGTAATCAAGGCTTTTTAGGGTAATTTCCCTCTTCCACTTACATCCCTTGTCACCACCACTTCCTGATTTCCATCACTGTACATCAGTCTGTCTGTCCTTGGATTTCATATAAATGGAGTCATACAGATGGTTCTCTTTTATGTCTTCCTTCTTTCACTTGATATAATGGGTTTTTTTTTAATGTTGATGAGTGTATCAGTAGTTCATTTTTCTTTATTGCTAACGGATAATCCACTGTGTGAATGTACCATGGTTTATTTATCCATTCTCCTTTTGATGAACATTTGGGTTATTTTGATGAACAGTATGAGGCTATTTAAATAAAGTTGCTATGCACATTTTTGTATTTGTCTTTATGTGGACATATGCTTTCACTTCTCTCATATCAACATCTAGGAGTGAAATTGCTAGGTTGCAGGGTGTGTGCACATTTAACCTTGTAAAGAGTTCTCCAAAGTGCTTGCATCATTTAATATTCTCCCAGGAATGCGTAAGAGTTCCATTTGTTGTATTTCCTTGGCAACATTTGGTGGTGCCTGTCCTTGATTTCCACGGATGGGGTTCAGAGCAGATATACCACTCTGGCACATGGATAATTTTGAGCTAAAAACAAGCAAGGATCAAAAGACTCTGAACCTTTGAGCTTTCCCCTTACTGCCTTAAAGAATTTAAGATAGGTGTGTCCCTGGAAGGCACTCTCACCATAGACAACATACATGGGAAGATATGAGTTAGGGGTGGAAGGGAGGAACTTAGCAAGGCCCATCTGCTCAAAGTCCTGTCTGTGTCCTGGCTGTGTTTTGGATGGCCCTGCAACATGTTTACCAAATGTCAACCCTTCATCTTCCTGTGAATTCCCTTCCTCCCCTATAAAGTCTCAGACCCCTACCTAC